AAATTTAATTTAAGTTCATATTTATTTCATTTTAAGTAATTATTATTATTTATTTTTTTTATGGTTTTAGCAATTTTTGCTAACACTTTTAATCGCCTGATGATTTTTAGTAGATGTGTGAAGTCCAACAAACTTCCTTTTGTGCAATGTTCTGTTTGAAAAGTGTGCCTGTACTGTTTTTAAAACAAATGGCGCTTGACATTTTGTTATCTAATGAAAAGACATTCATATTAAGTGTGGCTTAAGTGTCCAAACTTTCTGGGGTCACTGTAGAATTGTCCTTTGTGCCACAACTGGATTATAAAAGATCCACAACCAAAGGAAACTGTCATGTCCCCAGCCAGACTGGAAACTACAGGGTGTTTTCATCAGCCGTTTGAAATGGTGAGGGTTAATTGTTTGAGTGACTGACAGAATGAATGCTCCATCAGCCTCACTCCCGCCTCCCCGCTGCGAGATAAGAACCCTTCTCTCCAAACACGCGGGCATCTCCAAGTTCATCACCACACATGGCCTCAATAGCTTAAGAGGCTCAGATGTGTTCAGCTGTAAACAGAACGGATGCAGATCATCGGAAGACTCCTATTTAGAAGTGCTAGTCGCTGCGGTAGGATGTCGTGTGCAGGGGAGGAAGTAGAACAAAAGAGCTGGTCAGTACATGAGATCCGCCGCTCCTGTGCTTGCATCAGACTCTTTGGCCTCCTGAAAGGGGAACTGGATCCCTGCCAGGCGGATGAGCAAGATGTTGAGGCCGTGCATGAGGAAGGTGAGGAAGACGAGCCAGAAGGATCTGTCGTACCTCTCGTTTTGCGTCTTGTAGACGAAACTGGCCTCGTTGAATTTGAAAATGATCTCGGTCAGGTGGTGCAGTTTGACCTCCGAGGAGAACAGGATGAGGATCATGCAGGCACAGAAACCTGGCAGGAAATAAAAGCATAATAAATAATTTGCACAATAAATAAAAACGGTTTTTAAGGTTAGTTGGTTGGTTGGTTGGTTAGTGATTGATGTTGACTAACCCAAAAATGAAAATTCTGTCATTATTGACTTACTGACTTACTCAGAGAAGAAAGACGTTCATACAGGTTTGTAATGATGCAAGGCAGACCAAGTTTTTGGTTGAACTATCCCTTTAAATAAGAAAAGCCTCCGAGCAACCATTGTTTGAGTTTAGCTGTATTCTTGACACTTAGGTTTTTACCACATCCCTTCACTATAAAGGAACTTCGTTTATCTCTAAGTGCATTTTAACTTGGCAAGTATACGCAACACTTTAAAACCATTTAGCTTTTTTAGGACCTTCAAATACACCCCTTAATAAAAATATGTCTGCCTTTTTTTATACAATGCTAGTGGATTGTTATTTACACTGTCAGTCTCCAAAAGGGCAAAACGTACCATAAAAAGGGCATTGAGCAATAGTACAAAAGTCATTACTCACTGAAAGTGTAGCTGTCGAATTTCATTCCAGTCACCATGACACACAGAAGCATTTTCAAAGCCTTGAATACATGCGAACACAAGATTTGAGAGCTGCCGTGGACATTCCATAATTACTTATGACAAACTTTTCCTCATCAAAAGCTAATGTGTGACTTTATAAGACTTACAGACTGCTATTAAAGGGGTCATATGATGCTGGTAAAAAGAACATTATTTGGTG